GTCTGTTTATCTTTGCACCGCATTGCCTTAACTGCCATAGCTTGTTCTTGGCATCTAGCACTGTGAGTCCTCCATTATGTTCTTCCTCAAGATTGCCTGGGCTAGTCCTGGTCCTTGGCGTTCCCATATGAATTAGAATCAGCTTGCCAATTTCCACACACAAAAAAACTTGTTAGGATTTTGATTAGGATTGCATTCAATCTGTAGATGATGAATGGAGGGAGAACTGGCATCTGCACAATATTAAGGCTTCTAGTCTATGAACATACCTGAGTTACTTTTTACTTCTAGGGTTTGATTTTATTTTATGATATTATAATTTCAATTCAAAAAGGTGTTTTCTATTTGTGTCTGGTATGTGGAAATAGCATTGATTTTTTTTATATTTTCCTTGATTCTTGTGATCTTATTAAATTCACCTATTTCTAGCAGTGTATGTGTAGAGTAGCTACAAATAACGAAAGTTGTATGTATGCCCACCTTTCCAACCTTATGCCTTTTGTTTTCTCACCTAATTGCACTGGAGAGGATTTACCTTATGCTACTGAAAGGAAATGATGAAAGCTAGCAGTGCTTTTCTTGACATGAGGTATGACGTCAACTCTAGGGTTTGTAGCCACAATGATCAGATTAAGGACGTTTCCTTCCATTTCTAGTTACTGAGAATTTTTATTGTGAGTGAAAGTTGGGACATTTTATCAAGCGCTTTTCTGTGTTTACTGAAAATTGTCAGTGATTTTTCTTCTTTCTTCTGCCAGGATGTTAGCATGGGGAATTGCATTGCCTGGTTTCCTACTGTTCAGCCTGTCTGGCATGCTCAGAACGAACCCACATTAGTGGTGATGACTTCTCTTTTTTATATATCATTGGATTTAGTTTGCTTGTATTTTTGGTTAGGAGTTTTGTGTCTCTGTACATGAATGGAAATCACCCTCTACTTTTCCTTCTGGAAATTTCTTTTGTTGGGTTTTGTTTGCAAGATTATGTCAGCCTAGAAGAAACAAAACAAAAAAAAAACAAAAGATTGTGCTAGCTTCATTAAAAGCATTGGGCAATGTTTCTTCTTTTCTGTTCTCTGGAGGAGTTTGTGTGAGACTGATGTTTTTTCTCTCCCCAGCATTTGGAAGAATTCACCAAGCAAGACCTTCTAGGCCTGGGGTTATTTACTTGTCCTTGTGGGGGTCTCACTGTTGTTTTTATTGGCAACGCTTATTTATAATTAAGGTTGTGCAACTTCTTATATGTTGAAAACAGCCATTTGTAGTTTCTTTTTCTGTGAGCTAATGAGTCGTGGCCCTGTGCCTCTCTCTAGTGGATGCTTGGTCTCTGATATTAAATATTTAAGTACTTAAATATTAAAGAAACCAGCCCATATCATATTACATATTGAAACTATTTCCCCCAAATTTTTCATTGGTCCTTTAAGGTATTTTCCACATTGAAATTTTTGTGTGTTCAGATGTATTCATTTTTTTCCCTTTTATGGCTCCTTCATTTTATGTCATGACTAAAAAGGCCTTCCCCAGTCAAAATAAAATTTAGAATGTAAATAATTTGTATACAAATAATTAGAGACATAAGTAATTATTTCAAATAGGCTATAAATAAATTTTCCTCATGTTTCACTTTGATATTTATGTGGTTTCAGTTTCAACTCTTAACTCTTTGATCCCACTGCAATTTATCTTCATGTAAATAAAAAGGTAGAGATCCCATTTTATTATTTTTCCAGCGGGCCGTTCACTTGTTCCAGTGCCAAGTGTTAACAATTCGTCTGTCCTGCTGTCTTGCAATACTCCTTTAGCAAAGACAAAATCCCCACGCTTGTTTACATCTCTTTGCACATTTCGTACAGTCATTGATTTTTTTGTTTATTCATGTGCTATTTAACTACATATGTTTATATACAAGTTTATATTTTGTTTTAAAATCTGATGGATTTGTTTATTTGATTTTGGTTCTTTTTTTTATTTTTCACAAAGGCACCAGTGCAATTCAATGAGGAAAATAAAGGTCTTTATAATAAATGATGCTGGAACGGTCACCCAGGCAATTGTTTCAGCTTCCCCACTGAGGCCCGAGGTTCCTCTCAAACACGTTTTTGTATCCAGTGTGAGGAAGGGTGTCAGGCCTCCTTTTGTCCGTCTGTCTGTCCAGTGTCCGCCTCTGGCGCTTACTCTGCACCCTTCAGTGTCCGCGTCTGTGTTCTCGTCTGTAAATCGGGATACTCACCACTCACCCTCCGCCGCCGCCCCCCCCCCCACCCCGTTAGGGAGAATTACATGCACTGAGTTGATACGTGTAAAGCAACATAATAGCACCCAGCCCGTGGATCCGTTCACCCATTTTATTTAGGGTTTTTTTTTTTTTGGTCTTTTTGTTCTTATCAAGAATGGCTATTAAATTTTGTCCAATGCCTCTTCAGTCCCTGTGGAGGTGACCCTGTGGCTTTTACCGCTTCTGGTAGAAGAGGTAAGAGGCGCCCTCACGGGCACAGTAAGAGGAGCCCTGCCTTGCGGCGCTGCTGTCGGCTCCGCTTGCGGAGGCAGGACGTGCTGTCCTCTTAAATATGTTGCTGGATTCTCCTTGCTGATAATTTTTTCAGGAGTTTTCTATCGTCGCACAAACAGAACGGGTCTGTGGTTCGCCCTGCCGGGTTCAGAGTCAGCGCTACACCACCTTCCTACCGCGAATGTGGCCATTTTCTTCCTCGCCCTACACGGTCGGAGCTTAACCGGCCGCAGAGGCCTCCGGTCTTAATGGCAGGACACGCGTCACCTGTGGAACTTTCTGGAAGGGTGTTTGAGGTAGGCTATGAGCATTGACCTGTCTAGATCCTTGCCTCTTCTTGGATCTGTTTGTCCTTTACAGTTAAGTTTTCCAATTTAATAAATAAAAAGATGGGATTGGGATGCCCAATTAAATCTGAATTTCAGATAAACAACCATGTCTTGAGCATAAGTGGGTCCCGAGTACTGCAATTCTCGGTGTATTGCATTGGCTATTTAATGACTTCTCTAATTTTTTTCAAAAACCTATTTTTCTGATTTGAAATTTGTTGATTTCTGGGTCAGTTTTTACTGCAAGCTTCTACTTTCCTGATTGTTCCAATTATTCCTTTTCTAACTTATGTTAGATACTTTATTAATTTTAACTCTTATGATTCTATTGTCCATCTGTCTGTCCAGTGTCCGCCTCTGTCGCTTACTCTGCATTCTTCAGTGACCTATTAAAGGCAATGAATTTTCTTTTGAGGCCTGTGTTAGCTGTTCTCAGGGGTTGATCTGTACTGCTGTCAGTGTTATTTTGAAGGTAGTGCAGTCACGGTTTTGATTTCCTCTGTGTGGCAAGATGTATAAAGAGACGGCTGTAAGAGGCCCCGGCTGCGCTGGGAATGCACGTTGACTGGCATTGCTGGGGGTCCGGGCAGGAAGCGGGCAGGGGCTGGGCAAGTCCCCCAGGGCGGATGAGCGGAGGCAGAGGAGTGGGCTTCCTCCAGGGGCCCCAGGGGGCTCCGTGCTGCTGCGGGGCAGTAGCCTGTGCACAGGCCGGTGCTTGTCATCGCCGTGGGTGGGGAGGAATCGGGGCAGTGGGGGCGGCAAGGAGCTGAGGGGAGATGAGGAGGGGAGGCAGGGCCGAGCCACGCACGTGGGCAACTAATGGGAGGGTAGAGGGGGCACCTGGGAGCTTCCGGCTGCCTCAGAGCTGGCTGCTGTTTTGGTGTGTTCAGTCCAAGGTGCCTGAGGATCCCAGATGCCCTGAAGGTGGTATGTGGGTCTGATGCTCCAGAAACCTGGGCCGGGCCTGGGTGGGGACCAGTCAGCTCACTGCGGTAACCGAGCCTCGGGTAACAGCCCCAGGAATGGCCAAGGGTGAGTCGGGACTGGGCCCCCAAGGCCCCCACCGCCAGCGTGCAGGGGCAGTTATGCCCTGTGACCTATGGATGCCCCTGGGCAGCACTGTAGAGGGACTTGCTCAGGCCTGGCTGGCTCCAGCAGCCTCCTGGGGCTCGGGGCCAGTCTGGGAGCCCAGGAACAGGCTCCTGACGCAGGAGCGCTGAGGCTTGTGCCAAGCAGCGTCCTGCTCCCCATGGGGTGTGGGACGGCCGTCAGGATGGGCCCCACAGAGCTGTGCCAGGCAGCCCTCCCCATCCGACGCCCTCTCTGGCCACACAGCCTGCTGGGTCAGAAACCCTCGCACTCCCGTGTCTGTGTGAGCCTACCTTCCCCGCATCTCTGACCTCCAGCTCACACCTGCCCTTTCCAGAGCCTGCGGCCTGCTCCCTCCCAAAGCCAGAGCCGGGGAGCATGGCAAAGAGGGCAGGCAGCCCCCCACTTCAAGGTGGGCTGCCCTTTGTCCCCAGGCATTTCCCTTGAAGGCCATCAGAATAGCCCCCTCCGCCTCCCGGTCAAGCTCAGATCAGGGACTGGCCCCAAGCGGACCTGTCTCCCTATATGTGGCCCATTAAATAACAGTCCCCAAATGTGCCCACACCTGGATCCCTGGAACCTGTGAATGTTGCCTTATATGACAAAAGTGGCTGATTGAGTGAAGGATCTTGTGGTGGGGCGGTTCTCCCGGATCATGCCCACAGCATCCTTACACATGCTCCGAGGGTGTCTGCCGCCCAGACCCACCCGGGGCACTGGGAGGCTTCACACACACAGAGGAGAAGGCTGTGTGGCCACAGACGGAGGGGTTGGAGGGCTGTGACCACACGGGAACCGCAGCCACCAGAGGCTGGGAGGCCCTGGAGGGAACACCGCCCTGCCTATATCTTGGTTTCAGCCCAGTGACACTGATTTAAGACCTAGTCTGTGACAGTATAGGTATCTGCTGTTTTAAGGCAGTTTATGGCATTTTGTCCAGCAGCTATAGGAAATGAATACCTGCCAGCATCCTGCTTGCCAAACCCCTGTGCAGAGTGGGAGGCGGTGGCTTAGTAGTGGAGCCAATTCTCAGCACTGCCAGATACGGCACATCCATACATTCACTATTCATTATTTCAATTTTCGTTTTTAATTTTATTTTAAACCTTTATTTCTGCAAAGCCAATCAACAAGTGTTGGAGGAGGAAAGTGCAAAAGTTATTCTTGCATATTTGGGAGCAGCAGGCACTCAGTGTGAGAAAACAAACTTAAAATAGTTGAATGGAAGGCAGTACCCGGCCACGTGTATTTTACGAGCCATGATGTTCTTGGCTAAGCGGTGCTCCTCTCTTCTCTAGAAGCTACAGTACGAGACAGTCCACAAAGCTCGCTGGGAAGTGCTGGCGTCGGAAGGTGAAGGCCGAGCGCCCCAGGTGTAGCCCTCCTGGGGATGCCGAGCCGTCAGGGAGCATCACGTGCAGTGGGAATGTTTCTGGCTCTTTCTCCCAGAATCCTGACATTGTGACACTGAACGTCTGGGGAACATCAGATGCTCCCAGGAACCATTGTGGGCGAGGATGCCCAGGCCAGTCCAGAGGGGTCTGCCCAGGGAGGGTGGCCCATGCAGGAGCTGGCAAAGCCCATCACAGTGGTTGGAGGCTCGTCGGTCCAGAGCAGTGGTTCTCATCTTGGGGTGCTGTGGCTGCTGGCGGGGGGCGGGGGGGCGGTGGCTGCTGCATCTCGCAGGTAGAGGCCAGAGATGCTGCTCAGCACCCTGCAGGGGGAGGACAGCTCCCCAGCAATGGGTGTTCCACCCCAAAGGTCAACAGCGAGAACATGGCTGTTGTTGGGGCTGGGGGCTGAGGTGCCCCTTCATCCAACCTTCTCCTAGCCTGGAGGACGAGGTCCAGAGATAGGCCTCAGCCAAGCACCCTGTGAGTCAGGGGCAGGGGCCCCCAAGCCACACTCCTGCCTCCCCACCCACGGGTGAGCCCCATGCAGCCAAGCCAAAGAAGCAGTGGGGGCATAGCCCCTGGCCGGCCTGCTGTCCCCCGGCTGCGGCGGCTCCCTGGGCAGGACCTCAGGGCTGCGGGCTTGTGCTGTCCCCCTCCCCCACCCAGCCCACTAAGCAGGCTGTGCTGCAGCCTTCTCTTTAATTGTGGACTCAAGGGTCTACAGAGCGAGTGGGGGGGGCCCTCAGCAAAGGGTCCAGACCCTCATCTCATGGCCAAAGCTAGCCTGGACGCGCGCTGGCGGCCGGCCCCGGCCCTCGGGCATGCACCTCAGTAGCCGGAGGCCTCGCCGCCCTTCCTGGGGTCGGCCACAGCATGCACACAGGCCCCCTCCTGGGACACGGCCTGGACCACGTTCAGGAAGAAGAGCCTCCCGGTCTGGTTCTGGCCCCGGGCCTGGAGCCCCTTCTGTACCTCCTGGAGAGGAGAGAGGCCCAGGTGAGGGCCGCCTGCACGGGGCCGGGACCCAGGCAGGGATCTGAGAAGTGGACTGAGAAGGCAGGGCTGGGCGAGGGGGGCTGACGACGGGAGAGGAGGACGCGGCCCCGTCCGCAGGGCATGGAGTCGGGGGCCTCACCCTCAAGGGACCCTAGAGGAGAAGCCTGGCCCCCCGGAGCCTGCAGGGAGACCACTCCCCAGGCGGCAGCTCCAGATGCAAGCCCATCCTGCCCTGGGTCCTCGGACACCGGGGGTCCGAGTGCGCCGTCTGAGGTACCCAGGGGCTTTGGGGGAGACGGGAGCTACTGGGGACTTAGCCTAGAGGCTGCAATCTGAGGACCGTGGAAGTAAAGTCTTTCAGAAGGTGGCTTGGGCCGCGGGGAGCCCCAGGTCCTCCACACATAGGAACTGCCACAGTCAACATCTGGCCACCTGCCGGGGGGCTCGGTGGCCAGGGTCCCCGGGACATGGAGGGCAGGCCCTGGTGCCAGCACTGTCGGGCTGCATAGGACCATCCACTTTGACAGTCACATGAGAAGACTGGGGGCCCTAGAGGCCCTGGAAGCTTAGGGCCGCATTGGTTGGGGAATCAGCTAGAAGAAAGACCCAAGGCTTCAAACCCCATTTCCCTGAATATCCTTGAGCCCAAGGACACTGGCTCCGGGCTGAAGGCACCTGTGGCCCTGGCCATGAGGCACTCAGCACACGGTGCCCTGATGGCGTCAGGGCCCCAGGGCTGGCCTCTAAGACACTGAGTGCCTTACCTCGGGCACGGTGCCCACACCCTTTACACAGATCCTGGGGTGCAGGAACTGTGCTCCCTGGGCCCCCCATTTCCACATAGCATTTTGGACCAAGCCCAAGGACAGTAGACCTCAGGGCCCTAGATGCCAGAGACCTTTAGGCAGAAAGACCCCCATGCCCTGCAGTCCCCAGAACCAGGGCCCCTGACCTGAGGTCACACTGGCAGGGGTCTCTGGACCTCTGTGCCCTGGGTTATAAGTTTCTCTACCTGATGCACTAATTGCCTGATGTCCTTAGGTTTGAAGACCAAGGTCCTCACAGTGGAGGCCACAGCAGGACCTGCAGGCCTTGGGGTCTGTTCCTCAGTCCCGTGGCCACACTCTAGGGCCCTGAGGAACAAGGACCCTTCTGACCTCAATCCCTGGGTCTTGGAGACCCAAGATCTCCACCTGGAGTCTAGCATGTTCTCCAAGGCCCTGGACCTGCGTGGCCAACACTACATCTCCCAGGGTCCTGAGCTCCTAGGTCTGTAGATTCCAGGCTGTCATCTCTGAACCTTCAGTGTCTACGGTCCTTGAAAAATGGATGTCACGTAGTAAGAAACTGCAGTCTAGGGTCAAGGAGAAGGGTGAGGCCCGAGGGGGTGCTTGGCATCTCCTGCCCCAAGGCGGCCCGTACAGGGAGGCAGGGCCTCGGACTCTTGAGAGTTTGAGCCAATGGGCTGAAGCCCTTAGACTCCAGGTCCCAAGATCAAGGTTCTCAGGGACTGTTTCGACTGACGGCCCCTCCTGTGATCCTCAGAGTGCTACGGGCCACGGAGGCGGCCTTGAGACAAGAGAGGCCCACAAGAGGACAGGCGGCTCTGAGGACCCTGAAGCCCAGCCGGCTGAACTGGCCCTGGGCACGAAGCTCAGAGCCTTGAAAAGCTGCCAGTCTTTTCAGTGAGGTCCTAGAGGGGAGCATCTGCCAGGCCAGAGCAGCCAGAGGGAGCTGGCCAGCTGTGGGGTGGGGTGCAGGGGGCAGGGGGGCCAACGAGAGAATTCAGCTCCCTGGGCCTGCGTGTGTGGGAGAACAGAAAAAAGGGTTCATCAGAACCAGTGCCAGGGCACCCCCAACCCCCGAGGGAAGCCCCTCTGCAGACTCTCCCAAGAATAATAAACTCTTTTACAAGTAAACTTGCAAATAAAAATAGCTGCAAATCACACAAGGAAACATACCACCATGAGGGAAATCTGAGAGACCACAGCCAGGAAAAACAGCCCCGGAGAGAACAGCACAGATGGGGCAGGTCAAGGTGCAGAGGTCAAGGAGCAGAGGCACTTTGCCTGGGACAAGCATCACCCTGTTCTCTGCTTTGGAGGCCACAAGGCTGGCCTGGTGACCCCCCCACTGAGCTTCGGGACTGATGGTCCCAAAGCTGAGGTGTGCCTGGCCTGAGATACTCAGTGCCTGGGATGCCGGCAGGGGCTCTGAGCGGCACCCACCAGGGTGTCCCGCCTGGTGGTGGCCTGGGCCTGGGCCTCACCTGGCTGAAGCCGGGCTCGTATTCCACCTGGCCCTTGTCGTCCACATGCAGGATGGGGGCTACAATGGCTGCTCGCAGGTCAAAGCCCAGCCACAGCTTGTTTATAATGGCCTGTGGGAGAGATGGCCTCAGGGAGCCACTGCCCCACCCCCTTCCCTGCCCCAGGAGCAGGACCCCAGGGCTCCCCGGAGAGGGCCCCTTCCAGCCCGGAGTCCCCAGACTCACCTGGGCCACAGCAGAGGTGATGAGCTCCCCCCCAGCCCCACCAATCACCAGCTTCGACCCCTGGGCTGCATTGACCAGGATGGAGGGGACCATGGACGATGGGGGCCGCTCACCTGGAACTGGGGATGGGGCAAGAGTCACCCGCAGCCCCGCGCCCTCCAGGGCCGGCCCTCCACCTCTGTCTCCACGCACCAGCGCACAGACTGGGGCTGGGCGAGGTGGGGCGCCGGGCCGGGGGCGACAGCGAGTGCCCCGCCTGCCCCCCTGGCCTCCTCTCGGGGGTGGGCCCAGGCCTCACCGGGGGGCGGGGCCACTCCAGAACCCTGCCGCTGCCTCCAGCACAGGTCCAGGAGCTCGTTGTTGAGGAGGATGCCTGTGTGCGGCGAGTACACCATCGCGCCGAAGCTGTAGGCAGGACGCAGAGCCTGGGCTGGGGCGCCCGCACCGCCTTTGGGGAGCCCCCCACCTCAGTGGCTGCCCTCCAGCGTGCTGGAGCCCCATCCTCTCCCGGGCAGCGCCCCCAGCGCTCCACTCGTGCCCCCGGCAGGGCGCCTTCCTGGGTGAAGCCCGTCCCCGGGTGCGTCGGGCTCAGGGCCACCCGCCAGCAGCCCTTTCAGGCAGAGGTGTCGGGAGTCTAGACCCCTGCTGACGAGGGAGAAGGGGAGGGGAAGCCAGGCGCCGCCCCGTGGAGACAAGCCCGGGAGGCCGGGGCTGGTAGGTCACGTGGAGAAGTAGCACCCAGGGCCAGGCAGGCACCTACGGCGTGTTGATGGTGCTGGTGGCGGCCACAGCGCTGCCGTCCTCCCCCAGCACGGACACGTGCGCTGTGCCCGTGCTGGGGCCCCCGGCCCCAGCCAGGTTGTAGTGGCTAAGCTGGTGGTCACCCCGGGCATCGATCTGCTGGCGGATGTGCTGGGCTAGAGCCTCCCCCAGCAGGTCCTGGGAGGCGTTCTGGGGCGGGCGGGCAGGCGGCAGGGTCAGGGAGGGGACAGGCAGGGCCTACGGAGCAGAGGGTCCCCTTGGGGGCCCCTCCCCAATCTGTCCTCCCTTGAGCCCAGGCTATGCCCAAACCTCACCCGCTTTCAGGTCCTCTGAGATGTGCTACCACTGTCCCCCCATTCCCGCTGTACCCTCCCCGTGCTGGGCCACTGCCAAGCTCTACTGCCCTAGAACCATGTACACATCCTTCTATCCCACCTGGCCAGACTCTTAGGGTCCCAGGACAGAGCGCTACTGGCCTGGCCCTCCCTTTGTGCTGACCAGGGGCTGGGCAGGGAGCTCTCCACCAGCCTCAGCCTGCCTCACCTGCACTTCCAGGTGGCTGCGAGGGTCCCACAGTCGCCACCTCTGTCCCCCGGCAAACTTGAGTGTCTCCACAAGGTGATGGTACAAGTTCACGCTCCCCTCTGGCCTGGCCACTGACTCAGAGGAAAAGTTGAACCCTGGTTCAAGAGGCAGAGAACAGATTCTCCCCCAGAGCCCCTGGAAGCAGTGTGGCCCAGCCCATTTGATTTGGACCTCTGACCTCCAGAACTATGAAAGAATAGATTTCTGTTTTAAGCCTCCAGGTTTGTGGTCATTTGTTACAGCAGCCGTGGGGAGCAGATGCACTTGGCCACAGGCAGCCGCAGCCCCAGCCCCAGCCCCGGACGAGGCCAGGAACCCTTCACCACTCCGCAGGCTGCCAGAGGCGGGCCAGGCCTCAGCCCTGGATGCACGCTCTGGACGGGCAGCTCACCACCTGCAGAGCCCACCTGCTCCTGGGCCCCAGGGTGGGGGGACTCAGGGGCTGGGTGATCTCAGACCCTCAGCAAAGCTGCCAGGGTGGGTCGTGCCAGAGGCCGACTCCAGAACACATCTTGACCTGTTCCCACAGCCCTGGCTTCAGCACCTCGAGCCACGCTGGGAGAGGCAGCGGCTGGTTCGCGGCAGGGCAGGACTCCCGGGGGAGGCCAGGGGCCTTGCCTTTGAGGACATTGAGGATGAAGCTGAGAATTGCGCCCCCCGCGGGCGGTGGTGGTGAGTACAGGGTATAGTCTCCCAGGGGCACTGCCAGGGCATCCACCACTTCTGGCTGGAACGATGCCAGGTCCTGCAGGGTCAGCCGGCTGCCTGGGGTGAGACAGAGGCAGCCGTGTACAGAGGGGGAAACTGAGGCAGAGAGTGACAGCTGCTGACCCCAGGTCACACAGCAGGACTCCCCTCACCCCCTTAGCCTTCTAGACCAGGAGGGGTGACAGTGGGTCTGCGGGCAGTGGTCTCAGGGTTGGGCCTGGAGCCAAGCAGGGATGGGTTCAGAGGCCAGGGGTAGGCAGGTTGGTGGGGAGAGGAGGGGTGGACAGGCAGGACCAGCCGGCCTCTCGCGGACTGTGAGGGCGGCCAGCTCCAGGCCCAGAGCCCACCATGGCCCACCTGGCTCCCCTTTGCTGGCCCTAACTGGAGGAGGCTCTGCGCCTCCGGGGCCTTGACCTCAGGACTGGGTGCACGACCCTGGGGGCAGCCGCACTCCTGCAGGGCCTGCCCTTGGAGCTGGTGCCCAGAACCCAGCTCTTTCTCTGGCAGGGTCAGGGCTTTGGGACCGCAGCACGGCTGACCTTCCCTGGCAATGTCGTCCAGCAGTGTCTGGCCCAGCTTCCCTCTGTAGAAGGCCTCTGCGCCCTCTGTGGCCACAGTCTCCAGGGTCGTGGCCAGCGCAGGCCACGGGAATGGATCCTGAGGCCTCAGGGGTTCTGTCCCATTGAAGAAGAGCTGCCTGGGGATGCAGGCAGCCTCAGGGTGGCATCAGGTCCTGAGGGCAGCCACCCCCCTGGAGGGCTCTCAGGGGTCCTGGGGCCCTACAGGGGGTCACCTGGCCCAGGTCCCGACAGCAGGGGCGGGCCTGTGGGGACAGACTCTGGGACTGGGTGGGCCTGACACCCTCCCCTCACTCACCACCCTGCCCCGGGAGGGCACGCTCCCAAGCGCGGCCTGTGACACGCCGGGAGGACCTGGGCAGTGGCCAGCAGGGTGGGCAGGGTGGGCTGCCAGAGCCCTCCTGCCAGCCCGGAGGGAGGGAGCAAGCAGGACCGGAGGGCAGCCGAGCCCAGGCTCAAGCCCTGGGAGCCCCGTCACTCGCGTGAGCACCCTCGGGCCTGCGCCCCTCTGATCAGGTTCTGATCAGGTTCTGCCCCGCACAGCCCAGAAGTCTGTGAACTGAGACAGCAAAGTACCGGCTGGCTTCAGGCCCCTGACACCCCTCAGGGTCAACTCTCCAGCTCGAGGAGGTGTCAGGGTGGGGGCTGGGCTAGACAGGCCGTGGCCTGAACCCAGGAGCTGAGGGGGGCAGCCCGGGGTCTACAGGTGGAACTCACCTCAAGGACGACTTATACAAGGAAGGCCGCAGGAGGTCATTCTGCAGGAAGTGACTGAGGATGGGGGGCATGCGGTAGCCCCCTCGGAGCAGCGCGATGGTGGGCTGGAACAGCTGTGCCCAGGGCAGGCGGCCGTGGCGGCGGTGGGCCTCGGCGTAGCCACGGAGCTCCCCGGGTACCCCGACCCACTGGGCCCCTGCATGTGTGGTGGCATCATGCCCCTGCCTCCGCTGGCCCCGTCCTCAGCCCTGTGGCCTGCTCCATCACCCCAACACGTGGCCCCCAGCCTGGCAGTGAGCTTTCTAGAGCCAAGCCCGACCACACCCATCCCTGCTCAAAACCCCTGTGGCTTCCCACCACCCTCCACACCAAGTTCACGGCCCAGCCCTTGGGACCCCCACAAAAACTGGCTCCAGGAACCGCCACCCCCTGCACCAAGCCAATGGCCTTTGCCCAGGCTGCTCCCCCTGCCTGGATCACCCCTCTTTACTCAGGGAGCCCCTCTCCCCGGGAAACTCCCTCAGCAGGTCAGGACCTCTAAGGGGGCTGTGCATCCCCTTGCTGCTTTCCCCTGGCACTGGGTGTCACCGCCTGTCCATGAGGCACACTGCCCCCCTAGGAGGGTGTTCTGGTCAGCCCCAGTGGCCTGGAGGGGTGGGAGCGGTGCCTCTCCCAGGGCCTCACCTGTGCCCAGTGGCTGGGCCTGCTCGCACTGGTCCAGCAGACCCGGGACATAGCTGTTGGGCACCGTCTCCCTGGCATTGATGACCTCCACCTTCCCTGGAGTCAGGACAGGGTGTAAACTTGTTCAGGTGCCTCCAATAGGATTCATCTGACACCACGGCCCCCCGACAGCTCTGACCCCTCCCCAGGCCTCAGTTTCTCTGTCTGTCCCATGAACTGGCCTGTGCTAACACTGGGATGGCATCTGCTGTGGAGGCTCTGCACCGATGAGGTGGGAGGGCCCCAGGAGGCCTCAGGGAGGGCCCAGGTGGACGGGGTGGCCCCAGCCATGCACTCAGGACGTTTATGAGCACTATCACCAGTGAGCGCTTGTGGACGAGCCCCTCTCCCCCAAGGGGGGCACATCGGGCTCACCTGTGGTCACGTTGTAGATGGTGAAGATGACGCCTCCGCCCAGGCCCATGCTCTGAGGGTTGACAGCCCCGGTGCAGACCAGAGCTGCGATGGCAGCATCCACGGGTGAGCCGTGCTGCTGGAGGATGGCTCTAGGGAACACGGCACAGAGTGGGGGACCCGGCTCCCCGGCCCCAGCCCTGAACCTGGCATTCCCTGGGGAATGGGGACAGATGACTGGCCCACCTGCAGCCACCAGCCGCGGGTTAGGTGGAGACAACACCGGGCTGCCCCCTCACATCCAGCCGCTCACAGGTGCACAACTCTCTGCACTGCAAATTGTGACGCCATTTATACCTCCCCATACGTACAGGCTGCTTCTCAGTTTGCATGGTTTCTGCTGCCGTTATTTCCAGGTCAGCAGCCCAGGCTCATCTGCAACAGGCAGAACCAAGCCTCGGCCAGCCCCGCGTCCCTCTCAGCAGCCCCAGGAACCCAGCCCTGCGTACCCTCCACTCCCCGTCTCACTGGGGACACACTGGCCTCCAACCCCTTTAAGACTGGACTTCTTCAAACTGCACTTACCAGGGTGAGCATTTAATAATGTATATGATTGATGAATCAGTAAGTTGTTCATCTGAAACCAGTATGATATTATATATAAACTATATTTCAATACAAAGAGATGATTATTTAAAAAAGACTGGACTATTTTAGGTGACCCCAGGCACCTGTCCTGCTCTCAGGGCTCGGGGTGTGGGCTGATGGGTCCCACAGTCCCTCCCAGGGCCCCGGTGTCTATGGGGAAGCTCTCCGGCCTCAGATCCCACATCTGTCCATGGGCAGCGAGGGGCGGGCCCTTTGGCTCTGAGGTGCTTCTCACACTGGCCTGGGTCAGGGAAATGACCCTGTCCTCGGGCCAGCCCCGCACAGCCCACTGGAGGTGGCCTCTCCCCTCCCACCCAGAAATTCTCCCCAGTACCTCAAGGAAGCCAGAATTTAAACCCCAGTTACAAATGGGGAAACAGAGGCCCAAAGGAGGTGGACCTTGGCTCCCTTCCCCTGCCCCATGGGGCCTCTGACCCCAGTGCCCTCCCTCAGCTCAGGCACCCTGGCCTGACTGCTCCACCTCGGCTCACGCCCTCCCCTGAGGCGCGCGTCCCTGCTGGGGGCACCCAAGGGCTCCGCGTGGGCCCATGTAACCCTGGACCAGGGCTTGGAGCCAGAGGCCCGAGAGAACCCAGACTGCTACTGAGGCATAGAGAAATGCACATTGTTAAGAAGATAAAACACCATGAACAAAGACAAAAGACAAGCTGGAGAAGAAATGTTTTAAAAACCCCCATCACAGAGGCCTTATCTCCCCTGGCCCACTGCCCCCTGCTCCTGGCAGTGCTTTGTGCCCTCAGCCTCCAGGAGGCCCCCCCTCGCCCCAACCCTGGTTTTCCCCTCCTCGCCCTGCTTCCCAGGCTCAGTCCTTGGTCCGTGGGCATCTGCACCTGCTCCCAGCTGAGCTGATTTAGGCTTGAAGTGCAACTGCATGCTGAGGCCCGCCAGACGTTTGTCTGCAGCCCGGCCCTCTCCCCCAAACCCCAGACCCTTACCCCCGGCCATCCACAAGATACCTCCCCTGGATGTCTACGAGGCATTTCCTTCTGACGTGGCATAAACGGCGTTTTGGGGTTTTTTTGTATCATTAATCTAAGATTACCTGAACAACATTGTGGTTACTAGACTCCTCCCATCATCAAGTCCCCTGCACATACCCCATTACAGTCACTGTCCGTCAGCATAGTAAGATGTTATAGTCACTACTGTCTTCTCTGAGTTGCACAGCCCTCCCCGTG